ATTTACCGAATTAGGTTAAGAACATGAGAATAAAAGAAGTTTTTTATCTTTGCTAGTAGAGGAAAACAAACAAAAAAACTTCCGGTTACTTAGTTTCCGGTTCTTAGGTGCAATTCTGCGATTAAGATATTTGGTTCCAGGTACGAACAATTTAGGAAAGGAACTTTTCTATTGGTCTGGGTGTTCTGAGTGGTGCACTGAACTTTTTATGACATCAAGTGACAGGACGAACTAGTCGTGTGCCGGGCGGTAAGCAGTGCCATTTTAGAGCTTTAAATTGCAAAGATCCGAGGGGCACTGTCACTGAGTCCGTCACCCTGAGACATAAGGTTGACAAGTCCTATTACGTACCTGTAATTTCACCAGCACCTTTACCCTTCAAAGCCGGAACGCAGTAATAAAGAAACGTCCAGGCAAGTGCTGCCATCTTACCTATTACTAATATCAGCATTACTGCGTTCCGTTTTCGAAGGATGAGGATGGTCTCAAGGTAAAAATGTTTTACCTTTACAAACCAAGATATGTTTAGTCCAAACACTTATTTTGCCTTTCTTAGACTATGCTGATTCCTGCTATTTGAGAGTTAAAGAGCATTATTTATCTACTATTCCATCCATATCTTAGGCATTATATTATAAAATATGTATTTATCTAAGTATTTATATAATTTGTAACAATTTAATATTATTTTTATATTATATTTTTTTTCTTGTTTTTTTAGTTATAGTGTCCTGTATTTAGGCCTGCAGGAAGAAATTTCTATTAGAAATAAGCAGACCCTTTTGTTTTTGATTTCCCTTGTATTCTTTGTGACTTGTTGTATTTTTCCTGTACAATGAACTATTAAATAATAAATAAATAAATTTTTTTAGAATTTTGGAAAAAAAATCTAAAAAAATGCTTTTTACGACGAGCAGTTTCAAAGAGTAGGGGGAGATGTAAAATTGTGGGGGATCAGCGCGGTAGCGTTGTTCGTCTGCGCATGCGCGATGATTATTTTATTATTATTACACGAGAAACCCTAAATCGCGAAGCCGTGTTATGCTCTACACGTCGTGTTTTAAAATTCAATTTTGGTAAACAAACAAGATACCAAAATTGGATTTAATAAAACAGAACGTATAATTTATAATTTAAAACAGTCCTTACAATCTAAAACATGGTCCCTTGAAACATTTTTTAAAATTGCGCATTCGCCTTTCACCTCCTCACCTGGACCCCCGAACTGAATGAAAAAACACTCTTGGTGGATAAATAAAATGTATTTCCATTAATTACAACTCACTTAAAACATCATAATACAAGTTGTATGTGTATTCTCCCCCAATAACACAATGACTCCATATATTAAATAGTAAAAGTTATTTTTATTGAGTTCCATATTTCGTCCCTTATTTAGACTCAATTTGTGTGGATTATTTGTAACGAAAATGTACATAGCATAATGAGCTTTATGTCAATTATGTAACGTAGAAACTAGATACGATACGGTACGGGAATTCCCGATAAAGCGCGAGAATTAATCTCCCAAGGAGGTCTACCACGAAATACAAAGCAATGATCAAAGTTTTTAGCTTCGTATCGGACCGGAGCGCGGAGGCCACCACGAAAAACGTACAACGATCGAATATGCAATAAGCCCTTGCTCTGAAACATCAAATAACAGCTATCGTATCGAATTTTGACATTATTTCCATCGTAAAACTGACATTATGTAGTAAGTATGAACTTCGTTCTGGACGCAGACACGTAGTATCGTATTTCGTGGTAGACTTCCTGTTTTTTATCTCGTACCTTTAGTTTGTATGTTACACAAGAGACAAAAGTTGCATTACGTGAGTTTAGGCATAATTTAGGTTACAACGTAAATTATGCCTTAAATCACAACATAGACCATGAAATTCAACAGTGTATTACTTGTAGAGTTCTTAGAGCGGTACACACGGTTAACTTTTAACAGCGATGCAGTCTCTAAACGTCTACCTTTAAACACGCGCGCGATTTTAAGCAGCGATGTAAACGCGATGCAATCGCGCGTTTGTATCGATGCAGTCGCGCGTTTCTCTCGATTCAATTGCCTATGAATCCCAAGTGTAGCGATGCATCGCTGCTGTGTGTAATCACTCTTAGATTTTCGCAATTGTTACACATAGGACATGAAACTATTTTTTGAAAAACTGATAAAATATTTAATTAGTAACTTTTGTAATAATAGTGAAGAATAGGGTGGTTTACATTAGACATAACTGCTTGACGACTTTACCATCTCAGTCACCCGTGACCATGGGATCTTTAAAGGGCCTGAAACGTTGGTTTGTTTGAAAAAATAAATGTAAGCTATTTAAATCCGAAAAAAAAAATGTTTCATTTCCTATGAGTGCTATGTGCGTATTACTTTTTTCAGTTAAAATTGTAATTACATCTGTCTATGATAAAGGTGATTATTTTTGTCGAATTCTCAAAAATGTACAAATTGACATTGCACGTCCATAGCAGTTCTAGTGCCAATCAGGGATTTAAAGATCTGAAGGGCACTGTCAACGCGCCCGTTACCCTGAGGCATAAGTTGACAAGTCGTGAGAAACTCGCCTAGTGGATGATGATCAGTGACACTGGTGACGATCGCCATAATTTTTAATATTCTTATAAAACTGACACTGGTACAAGCCAAGTGGCTAATAACCCGCCTAGCACTAGTGCTGGGTCATGGACTATATGGATAACTATTTATAATAATTGTAACTTTTTCTCAAAAGTTTGCTTATCGACTTTTTCCAATTTCCATGGGATCCTCTCATCTGATTCTAACTTCTTGGTGACTCATTGTCACTGTTACGGATATTTTTGTTCATTTTATATTTTATTTTCTGGTTGTCCTGGTGTCGGTGATTTATTGATTACATGTTCATATTGTGTCAAGTGAAAAGTCGACTTTTGTTTGCGGAAAATATTAGTAATTTGTGACCTCGAGAGTATACCCTTTTAAACAAAAGAAGAATTTTCATAATCGGTGGATAATTGATGGAGAAATTAGTGGCTACACGGAAATTCCTACAAAATTTGAAGATTTCCTTTGATTTTCATGGGATCCCCTCATCAGATTCTGATTTGGTGACAATGGGACCACCACGAGAGTGCACTCTTTCAAACAAAAAACAATTTTCAAAATCGGTCCATAATTGACCGAGATATCAGAAAACATATATAAAACATATGTACCGAACGTATAACCTCCTCCTTCTTTTTTTTAAGTCGGTTAAAAAACCCGACCTCAAAAGTTCATGGAATTACATTTATTTGATAAGTTTAATTGAACTCGGTTACCGGAAAGTGCGCGAAACCGGATTCATCCCCTAGTTTGCCACCCTTAGAGGTGGAATATTTCCTTGAAATTTAAATGGGATCAATACTGAGGTACCCTCTATCCAACAAAAAAGAATCTTCAAAATCGGTATCGCGTAACATTGTCCTTTTTGAGAAGTCGGTTAAAAATACGGTTTTTTTATTCAAATGTAAGTGTGCATTTGACCTCCATCTAAATCTAAAAATACGGTTTTTGTACATTTTAAGTTCTCAACAAATCAACTGATGCTTATGAAATTAGTACAGTCAAAAACACCATCAAGTTTGCTTCATTGTAATAGGCGCCTAAGGGCGCGTTCAAATTAGCCGCTGTTAGAAGCGCTGCAGCCGCGCGACGGCCGTGCTGCTGAAGTACGACCAAATTTTTAGTGATGTTTCATCTTTCGACCCAGTTACGCGATGGATTCTGACGAACTAACATTACTTTTATCTAGTTCTTGGGGCACACTCTTCACATATAGGTATTAAAAATGACTCACCTGCCATGTTTTTTTCAGTTGTAGTTTCAAAATTGTCAATACATTTTAGACATAAATTTTCCCATGCCTTTTTTATCCAGTTGAGTGGAATAAGTAAGGCGGAACTGCTATCCCATATGGCAGGGTGTTGTTTTACATTCTCTACAAATTCTTCAATTCGATTTTCGTCCATCGTGGTTAATTTGGAAAATTAACATGCGCGACTAACAGCGGCTATTTTGAACGCGCCCTAATGCTCTGGCCACACAGAGGCGGCCGCGGAAGCGTTCCGGGCGCGGGAATTAGGTAATGTACGAGTTCATATGAACCCTGTCACACTGAAACGCGCGGTCCGTGAGCGGGACATTAGCGGGGCATTAGCGGGGCTTCAGCGGGTTTGGACGTTGTACTTTTATACAACTATGGAGTATTTTAGTCAAGTTTCAAGATGAATTCGATCGAAAAACATATGTGCAATCATCTCCGTTTACTTAATACAAGTGATAGAAATTATAAAAACAGTTTAAAGAAGGAAATGATTTAGGAAAAGATTTCCAAGGAGCCAAATCAAAGTCGTGAGTGTACGATTTTTTACCTTACTGTACCATTAGGTCCACGACTTGTTCATCCCGTCATTTGGAATCGTAAAAAAAAAAGAAAACCTGGATAGCAAAAACCAGTGTGTGTCTATCCAAAGCGAAGTACTGTCAATTTGGAACTTCCGCAGGATTAGCTCTTATAAAAGAAGTTCTTCATCACCATCCGACAGTGACAAGGTGATTTCTTTATCTGTGTTGAAAACATAGAGGATGGAAAAATGTTTTGGTGTCACGCCGCGAACTACGCGCGGGACTGCTGTGTGGCACGCCCCGGCCCGCGTTTGCTTCCCGCAGGTCCCCCCCCCGGACCGCTGTTCCCGCTATACCGCGTCTGTGTGGCCTGACTTCAATTCGCCCAAGTGCTTCAAGTCCGATGTGCTCAATTTGACGTCCACTTGACTTTATATTATAGCTTACATATTAATACAAGATATTCATTATATAATTTAACTACAGTATACAATAAAACGATACTTATATAATGAAGCTAGTTGAGATGCGACACAACACCTTGAGCTCCTGTATTAACCTGAAACAACAAGATCACTGTGTTTAAAAGTTCGTTCTATTTATTATAAGGCCAAATAGATGTGAAATCGCATCCTCAATTATAAAGTGTCCCAATTTAAAAATAACATTTTTAGGAAACAAAAACATAGATAACGAGCTGTTAGTTTTTCGTAAATTGGAAATGTAATTATTTTTTTCGGATCTAAATCGCGTGTATTACTGCTTCCGTGACCGAACGGATATCATGGCGGTCTGTCACGCAGAGATCCAAGGTTCGATTCCCGGGCCGGGAGAAATATTTGTATGGCCTACATTTATTTCTCTCCTGACTTTGGGTGTAATTTGTGATTATCTATGTGTGTGTCCATAGCACCCGCGTTACAGGGTTTCCCTAGTGCGGGGCTATGTTGAATGTGTGCGTTATCATTATTATTATTTGTTTTTTCAAACAAACCTACGTTTCAGGACCCATTATTATTTTTATTATTATTATTATTAGGGTGGTTTCATTCAGGGCCTATGCAGCCCCTCATCTCCCCATCTATTGTGATCACCACTAATTACAGTTCAGAGTCAATGGCGACAGCATTAAAGAACTGAAAGATTTTGTTCGCTGTGACAGTTTTTATGTTATCTGGTTGTGGTATGTGCCTTTCCAGTTTGGAACTTCGTACGTTCAGAGGACAGCATTGGGTGAGGAGATGCACAGGAATCTCATCTGCCTCGTGGCAGAATCTACACTCTCTATTATCTCTCTGGAAAATATTTGACACATCCTATTAAGATTCTAGCAAGCATTCTGATGCCATTCCAGTCCAATGACAGAGCTTCTCTGTAGTGTTTGGTACTGTAGGCAGCTATAAGAGCTTTTGAACGCTCAAAACCCTTGCTCTGTAGCCACACTTCCCGGGAGAAGTGTGTGCTCTCGTTCAGCAGAGAGGGCTCAGCCAGGCTGTATACTATTTCTAAAAAGGGTTCAGGCCCTTTATGGCCTGAATGAGATGGTAAAGTCATCACCCACTTTTGCCTAGTATTAATTAATGCAAACCACCGTAATTACACACTAATTAATATAATTATTACAAAAGGTATTAATTTAAATACGTTATTCTTAATTTCCCAAAGCACATTCCAATTTACGCTGCAAACGTTTTTCAAAATATTTTATTTTAATATTTACTAAATTAAATTTAATGTAATCATTTACTACTTTTACTACGACTTTTAATAAAGAAAATTAGAAATAAAATAAAACATAAATAAATAATAAAAAATAAAATAAGTAGTAATACAGCCTTGTCTGATTGGGATTTTTCGTCGAAGGAAATACAGTATCTCAATATGGTGGCACAGAGAAACCATCTTCCATGTTGAAATTAAGATTTTTTTATTTAAATGGACTCTGATAGGATAGCGTTAAAATAAATATAGAAATGTCAAAAATTAGACAATGAAGTTAGAGATTTGTTATTTAAACATTTGGATACTGTACAGAACAGATTAAATAAAGTCGATTACACAAAATATAAATACAGTTCGAAGTTTACAAATTTACAAGAACGCAATATCCACCTCAAACCACTTGACTAGTAGGAAATTAAAACGAATGAATGCCAAAAATTACAGCCGATTAATTCCTCATTTACAAATTAGACCTAAAATAAAATAAAGGCCAGAGTTGTGAAACAGAACTGCATTCCTTTGGGAATTTTACCAGTGTTTCGCTAAATGTGCCAGTGTGTGTACATTTCGCTTGTAATGTTCAGATATCTATGAACACTTTGGACTTCTGTATAAGTTAAAATGTGGCCCACTGTACCTGTTTAGTCCTTGTGCAACAGCTTGTTAAAAGCGCCATAGGAGGTCTCCAAATCGAATACCAGCTGCCTCACTTGCGCCTCCGACAATTCGTCTGACGCGGACATTTCCGACAATTTGTCCAGCCATTCTTGCACCTGAGCAAATTGCGACTCAATTATAAAATGTGACACAAATATTTTATATGCCCGTAAAAACATACATAATTTCGTTATGAAAGAAGATATCCTTAATATTAACCAAACAATTAAGTCCAAACTCATGGTACCATGATTTCGTTTATAACCAAGGTAAATATATGTTTTTACAATAAGAGCATATATTAAGATTATCATTTCCTAAGTTTAAAAACCTACATTAAAAATACTTTAATTGAAGAGTCATATTACAAAATTGAAGACTATGTATGGAAAAACGACATGGCTCCAGAATCCACACAAATTTGATTCAAAGTGTATTCCATAGCATTTAAGTTCATTTGAAACGAGCAATCCCTAGAGTTTCTTGCTCGTTCTTCTCAGGGAAGTGGAGCAGTAGGCTGAAAATGACATTTTCAAGTGCAAAATTTATTTTACCTATGGAATAAATGATTATTTGACTTTCTCAGTGTCTACTTAGAGAGTGTAGTAATTAACAAAACTTCACAATTTTAATAGTCAGGTTACATACATACTCTTTTCGAACTGGAGTAGGGCTTAAACATGTTATGATCCAGTCACACATTTTTCGCCTCAACAACCCTCATCAATACTTTCATACACCCTCGTTGGTTAAGGGTGCTCTTGACCTACCCTTCCTCAATTGGGTCGTGACAAGTTCAGTTGGCCCTTATTAACATACCTATTCACACTCTCCTAAAGCCGGCTATATGTAGTCGGGATTTCGATTCGAAAGTTCGTTTCGGAATATCGATTCCAGATTTCGTAAATACATCATACAAACGTTTATTTTAGTTTGGGATAACAAGACTGCTTAGAAACGCGAGGCATTGAGTCCAGATGTTGTCGCAGCGAAAATACGTACGGAATTTACGGCTGTGTGTTGCAGCCCCACATAATGTATGGAAGACTTGCATTCGGAACAGCTTTTGTCGTACGGAATTCCAAATGCACAAACCACCTTAAGGCAATTCGAATCGGAAGAAATTTCGAATGTGATAAGTCCGTGATTTGCATGGTTCCGACTGCATGTGGCCGGCCTTATATGGGTTTCGTTATCTCTCATTTTAGTTAACTGTTGGCTATACCTTAAGTTTCCCCTCGAAGTCCTCCGGCAGCATGAGCAGTCGGTCCATGGTGTCGCGAAGGTCGCGTAGCTCAGGCTGGATCATGTCCATCGCGCGGAACTCGAGGCGGAGTTTATCCATTAGTGTTATGAACAACTGCAAGAAATACAAAGCAAATATACTGATGCGCCAAGCTTAAAGATATAACACCAGTATTATCGCAGATTTGTGTGAAACAACTTGTTTAACAAATGTTCCGCTTTCTTCTTGTTGTATATATATATATATATATATAGCAATAGGTACTTATATACTACACTTTTTGTATTGTGCATAGAAACTGTCAACCGGCTAGTCTGGCAATCTTTAGGGGAGTTCTATGTTCAACAGTGGACGTCTTCCGGCTGACACGATGATGATTATAGAAACTGTTGACTATAATAAAAATTCCGTTTTACTGTATGACATCACACAAAATAGGTTTGTCGTCGAGTTGCGGACACCAGCCTGTCGCACCAAGTATGTATGACATTCTGAAAATCATCAATAAATTCATCATAATAATATTCTTTCTTAAATGAAAAAATTGTAATACTTACAGAGACAATCTCTGCAATGTATTTGTTTGTGTTTCCTTTGTCATCTTTGATTAAGTTTGGTTTGTTCTCCCTTATTCGCTCCAGTGCCGCTGGGCAGTCTAGCTGTTAATGTAAAATTACACAATTATTTGTTTAAATTGACATTGTACTAGAAATATATATTTTATTGTTGTTTTGAGCCTTTGAGATGATGTTTTTATATATTTAACATTTTGAGAATGAGTGGTGAAAACTACACAGATAACCATAATGTGCACTCATGGCAAAGGTTTTATCTTTATCTTTTAAAAAATGGTATGAAATTATTATTATTATTATTTAATTAATACACTAGCAGCTCTACAAGCTGATGCGTGTATATCACTGCACTTGTATATTGTTAGTTTCAAAACATTAATCAAGTAAGTGCACTAATTAACTGTTTTTAGGAGCGAATTCCACAATATCATAATGTGAAGTGGCAAGATGTGTTTTCTAGGGTTGCTAGCACATGGAGGATTATATAGTCTCATAGTATATATAGACCATAAATGAGCATGGACGAAACATAGCCAAATAATAATAATAAAAATAAACAATTATTATTATTTTTATTATTAGGCTTTTACAGACAATTATTATTAGACTTTTTGAGATTAAATACACTAAAGACATGCAAGGCATACATTATAACACTATGACAAAAATGTGACATTACTTAGGGATCAACTGAATAAAGCCAGTTGATGCTGGGAACTGTTATCAGACTCCAAGGTGACTTATAGCCAATGTACAGGCACAAAAAACCTTATTGTATTTAGAGTTAAAGTAGTACATATTATTGAAGGGTTTGACTTAATTTATGAATTAAATAAATGTAAGTGAGAATAACTATTATCTTGCTTACCCTAAACTTGCTAACAAAAGCCTCAATAGTAGGAAACTCATCCCCTTGCACTTGTTTGAAAGCAACTCGGTATTGTACTAGCAGGCGGCTGCAGGCTGCGGTGTACTCCTGCGCACGGACACAGTCTCGCATATATGCTTTCTCTAGGTGCTGGAGGGTGCTTACTACAGCATATAGTTCTGCCATGTTGTCGTGCCTGGTATCAAATGTATGTGCTAATTAGTACAAATATAATAATAATAATAATAATCCATTTATTTCACATACATTCATCCATAATATAATAAAATAATATATAATAATAACAAGTACTTATCCTGCATCTTTCCACATTCTTAATGCAGGAATAATCACACAAAATTGGTAAAAGTGTCTTTACTTGACTTTGTCTAATTACTTGACAATAAAGATTTGAAATGAATAAAACATAATTTTAAGAATCTTGCTACATGTAAACATAAAATGACCACAGGCGAAACTCCTTGTTAGAGAGCTATTCCTCCACCTTGTTGAAGCCCTCCATGACTAGATGGGTAACAGCTATTATTACCAAAGAATTAGTATAGCAATCCAACGGGGAAACGTTGCCAGCGTCTTGGGCACGATGTCTCACAATGTTTTCTTTAGTTTATGTACCAGATTTTACAGAACCGCTTTGCTGTCGGACTATGACCACTATTGAAGAGTTTTTACTTACTTTTCTCTTTCCCTGGCATTCTTGTACAGTTTAACTTCTTCGTACAGTTCTGGTCTTGTATCTGGCGAGAAATTAAAATTATTTAAATCAAAACAAAGGGTGTATTGTAATCATGACAAGAAATACATTAAATCCTACGAAATTTACCCTGCATTGTGCCTCGATTTGAACTATACGTATCTGAAGGTTTAAAGCTATAATTTAATGTAAGGAAAAACACAAAAACTTATCAATTTTTGCAGTATTTTCTAACAATTTTAAGTGATGACAAATCCATAGAACACTTCCCTATAATGACAATTAAGAAGTGTGTTCATTTCATTGTTAACAAAATTTTACATAAAATGTTCCTTATGGCATCTTGTGGCGTAATGCAGTTAGTTGAAACATGGATTTAAAGTTTCTGGAGTCAAGAGTCAAAGATCACTTTTCAGTTTTAATTTTTGAACTGCTAGATTTGATTTTACTAATTGAAAATGGCTATTCAACATCAACAAGTTCTATACGAAACAAGCGTAACCTAGCGAAAACATTATTTAATGAATGAATGAATGAATGAATGAATGATATAACCAAAAGAATAGTGTCTCTTATTTAGGTCAAACTAATAACGTTATTTCTGTTCGTTATTTGTGTTAGAATGCTGACTTATGACTGTATCCGAACACATGACAAAAAATGTCAGGATGACGTAATCCCTCCAATATGGCGGATGACGCGCGCACTCCCTGTTGCCCGCTCCGTACTTTTTTCGGTTGAGCAAGGCGACTGCCGCTCGTCTCGCATTATTTCACCTTGCGATGAATGAAAACTGTGGTGGGTAGTCCTGTGCACATATTATTCATACAAAAAACTAATCGAAACTTGTTAAAAGGTGTTGTGAAACAGTGTGTAAAGGTGGATTCGTGGTGATAGTGTTTTTACCAGTTCTTCCTTTATTTTGTGAGACAGGTAAAGTGTTTACGTGCAGAGGTACATGTTCGTGTGAAAATTCAGTTCTCCGGCTTTCCACAGTCGCCGATTAATGGGATCTTGTTGATCAACAGGTCAGTTGAATTTCTTGTTTGTTAAACTAGTTTTTTGAGTTTTTGCGGCTTTACCAGTAACGTTCTTCAGCGTTAATGGTTATTGCAAGGTTTTCACGTTGTTGTTAATTTATAAAATATATATAGGTGCATGTTGTCAATGAAAGTATGACATAAATGTTACGGTAATAGTAGGAGTAGTAAAATTGTTATTTTTTTTGTCTTATTGGAATGTGTGAGGCCACGGGCGGCGTCTCAGGGCGCGGCGCCGGCTCGTCCCACTTTCCATAAGTAGGTAATGGTTTACCAGTGCCGCTTTAGCACGTTCTGCTACTTGTGGTAATTTTAAGTAACATAATCGTATTTTGAACAATTGAAAATTATTCAGTTTCGTTATATGTTTGAAAATGTGGATGTCTTTTGAATTTGAATGTGTTTTTCATGTTATTTTGTTGTCTAGTACTTTGTATTGTTGTATTTGTTCTTTGCAGTATCAGATAATAATTCTTTTTGCTTCAGTTCATTCAAATATTTATCTGTATCATATCTGTGATATTTCATAAAACACATTTTATCAATATTATCATTATTCAATTTTCTTATCAAAGTACTAGTTAGCCTTAAATCCTGTATACTTGATAGATTAACTTTGCAACACAAACATTTTTGTACTTAGAAACAGGGAGTCACAATACACACGGAATTGCATTAAGCCGGTCAGAAAAAATGCTGCCTGTTTCACTTTCTACCAGATCCCTGATACAAAACATCTTTTTCACTCTTATTACATGAACATAAAACGTTTTATATTGCCTTGAGTTGGTTGGTGGATTGAGCCAATTCTGCATGAATAAAAAAATAAAAATAACTTTCTAGGAAAATACAGAAAAATAGGTACAGAGATGTGCTTAGCTCACAAACTAGGATTCCCTGAATTGTGGATGGCAACGAGGTCTCATATTTGTCAAGTGTGTTGTCTCAAAATAACAATAACTAAGTCTATTACAATAAACTTATAAAATATGATTGGAACACAAAAAAGAGGTGGTTTACTTTTAATCTTCTGTTTCATTTAATTCTGACTTTTGTCACCTTAAATGGTGACAAAAGTCAGAATTATAAGAGTAGGGCTCATGAATGCCTAGATTATTAGTAATTACATTATGCTAGATAGGTAGATTATGTAAACTTAAGTTTCACAGAACTTTTGCATCATTATATTAGAGCATTTATCATATGAAATCAAATTTGTACCTTAATTTCCTTTTTTGTTGAACTTTTGTCATGACAGAGTGGTTGTGGTCATGACGGACTATGTTTGCTAGGGGCTGATGTGGCTAGCCTCACCATATCTATATATTTCTCTGTTAGTGGACTCCCTCATGCATTGATGTAAAGGACCACGCACCGCAGACTTTATTCGGTCCTTCCATTGCATGGGTGACCATTGGGTAAACTTCCCGAAGCTTAATATAACTATAGGTAGTAATAATAGACATTGATAATTGTATAATTATAAAATAACAAAAAATAAAGAACATATATTTCATTTTAACCACAAATAAGGAAATCAAGTTAACCCTGAAATTGAACTTGTTGTTGTACAATGCAATGAAATTACGTAATATTCTCTTTAAGCTCTGATGTCATTAAGAAAAAGACGGGCAATTGCACATTTTCAAAATTTATCATTACTTTAATAACATGTCTCCATTTTAACCATTTTTTTTGAAGTTATTGATGTTTGACAACCTGGTCCACCCATTGCGTATAACAATTAATTAGGTGCTTGACAAGCTGGTTCTGTATAGCTTTGGCAGTGACACAAATTGAAAATGTACTTTTGTAATAATAATAATATAAAATTTATTTCCTACTTATCACAACTTTTCACAATATTATCACATTCCATTGTAAACAAAACATTTGTGTATTGTTTCTTATCTGGGTGTTCTAGGAAAGTGCCTAAAGCTAATTTTGTTGCACTGGTAGTTTAAGGCATGTGGAATGTCATAGTTTGAGACAAGATAATTAGTGTCAATGTCTGGTAGATTATTATTATAACTTTATATAACAACAGACATTAACAATGTCCAAACTGATCACTGAAACTGCAGATACATTAAAACACAATGCATAATGCTTAAGAGAACATAATTATTTTAAGTGTTGCATAATAATGATTTTCATAATTCTGTGAAAACCACAAGAATGGCGTATTGTTCATCGTATGTGGTTGTACATATTTATGTGACAGTTATTATTTTCAGACAAAATTTTTTGTGTTTTATTTACCAAGGTTTAGTATGTTTTATTTAAACGTACTTACCACTATCTAGCTCTGGAGCAAAGATGAGAGATAATTGCATTTTAAAGACTGGATATGGGCGTTGTGCACATGGCACATGGTTTTGTTTTCATTGGAACCTATGCTGTTATCAATACCGCATGGCTGTGAACTGTCTGTACTCTTGTGTATTCTATGACTTTCTTAAAGTTAAGGCGAAGGTAGTAGGTACAATTAACCACAGGCACGTTCACATCTGATATCTGCAACAGGTTTTGCTTCATTTGCATTTAGTGCTCTGATTTAGATTTTTGTCTGATGTTCGAACTTCAAAACAATTAAGATACCATTTGTCATAACACCCCTCCAAATAGCAAATATTTGTGGATTTGTACGTTCTATTAAAATGACATTATTTATACGTGTTTACGAAATCACCCATGACTATCGCTATTTTTAAGAAAAAGAAAACAAAAATAAGTTACGATCGAATAGCCACCTCTCGTCGCGACCTTTTATCGTTCGAGAATAGTGCGGTGACATCAGCCGTCGTTGATAATGCGTTCTTCAAACGCTCCAGTCCTGTGCTCGATGATGTCATCCTTCGGGACGGGAGCGAGTGAAGAGATTTGTACATTGCCATCAAAATAATCAGGGATCAGTACTACTGCTCCTCACGCTAATTCACAGTTCATTTTTATTGAACGAATCGTGTTACTCCGTATATGCATGCCGTAGAGCAAATTGCTTAATCCAGGATGTACGCAGCGCCTTCTCGGCTTTACTGGATACACCAATCGAGTAATGATATGTTTTAAAAGTACCATGTTGCTTTATCTTCCGGCTTCATTGGAACTCGTTTCAAAATTTTTGTTTTTTTTTCACATACAAGATGGCAGTGGCGCCCGTGGGGGTCGAATTAGTATGGAAGTGACACCGAGCGCAGTGTGTGGAGATAACTTACCATATTTTGATTTAAGTGGTCTCTGGCGCGCCGGCTGCCGACTAGTGCCGGTCTAATTTCCCCGTAAACTCAGCGTAAACACATTACTCAAACAAACACGGGTCCCGATCGCGATTTACTATTAATAAAGCGTGAAATACACAAAGAGCGGGTGCGGGTCGGGCATGAGTCGGGTCGGGACCGCGGCGGGTCTAATTCCGTGTATTTATATGGATATTAAGCGGTATCTGGGCGACCGGAAGCCGCTGCAAGTTTGTGTACGTCATAAATCTATTACGTATATATATACTCATTTAAAATACTAACGCTGTATCCCGTATGATAGCTGGTTTTTTTTTATAATTGCAAGTGAAGGGACAACCAAGTCTTGCGCCTGGTGGTAAGCCACACACCTGTCCATGACTGTTGCAGAGCCACTCAGAGCTTTCAATTGCAAAGACTTGAGGTACTGATACTGCGCCCGTCATTCTGAGACATAAGTTGATAAGTCCTGTGTGCCTGTAGTCTTCTAATCTTTACCCCTTCTAAAACTGGAACGCAGTAATGTTCACATTAACTGCTTGGCGGCAGAAAGGTGGTACTTCCCAGGACGAACTACATTTATTACATTTTACAATAATTCGCCAATGCAAAATGTCATTCTCACAGATTCTCACATCGTAAAAGCTTCACACCCTCCAGCCGCAACGTACTGCACTCGTATAACATTGAGGTATCCCACAATATTACCCGCTGTGTTAATAATTTGCATAGAAATGTTAGATGTTGTTATAGGAAAAGAGCACGAACGTGTTTCTTATCAACAGTGCGGACTTTCTATGTTGCTAACTTAAATTCAGGCCTTACTATTTTTACTGTAGTGAAAATAAAGTTCTAGGGTTTTTTAAGTTTTAACATCTGATAAAAGTAAATTACTATTTTGTCGCACGTTGAAATATACATATATCGTCACTATATTGAAAAGTAAATTTTCAGAAATTGACTATTAAACTTTCTGAGAAAAGTTTAAATTTGAACAAGCAGGTTTTGTATTGATTACAGCGAGTGTTATGTTTACTACGACACCTGTAAGTTTTTACGACAGAGACAAATCGCACCCACGGTTATAAAGTGGCATAATTCGAAAAGTAACATTTTTGAGAAACTGATAATATAAACAAGTGAATATTTGTCTCTTTTCCTTACAAATCTCTTATCACACTTTAGATTTATCAATGGAGCAAATTAAATATCGCTATTTCGCCCCGACTAATTGTTTACACGTCAAAATGTCAACATTTACATTGTTATGAATAACATTTGAAATGGATTGTTCGGTAAAAAAAAATTGCTCAGTGGGCGCTATATGAAGAAATCCCCGGTTTCAAAATAACTTCACACACGGATGTTCAGGATAATGCTCAAAGAATTATTTCTTGTTACTGTGATACTTAAGGCACTACAAAGAATTCCTCAGTTGAAGTCCAGGCAATGCTGATTGGCTTTAGGAACAAGAATCTTCATTTATTTATTGTAAGTATATTTACACTGTATTGCAGTCGATAAACTAATGCATAGTGAAACTAAACTAATAAACAGAACAGATAAATATAATACACATTATTCTAAAACAGTTTATTTCCTAGCATCCATCATCTTACAATATCTCAAACATTCACAGCAGACAGACGGCCGTTTCCACGCAAGCAGATCGCACTCGAGTTCATTGAGCATTGTGAGCGCACGTATAAAGTTCTTTCCTCCTAAATACGCATTTGCATTTCGGTAACT